ATGCCACTGACATCATCAGGCGAGGCATTTATGGAGCGATCATAAGAGGGCTCTATAGTCACGAGTGTAATAAGGCGAACTTCGTTACTAGGCAACTAGACCAAGCCACGTTTCAGAAACTGGTATAACAGTTTTGTCTAAACGTTCTAACTGTTCAACGTTATGCCAGCCTGGTATAACAACGGACTAATCATATCGAAGGAAACACGGACTGACTTTCGGTCTACGATTTCAGCTGTATCAGCTGCATAATGACGCTTATGCAACTTTACTTTTCCTGACTGGCTACGGCTTAAAACCTGTTCCACGTATGTGAATAGCGTTAACAGTTTTTACACCTTAGAAATATGACAATAATGACTACTAAACCAAATGTGTGACAATAATGACACTAATGGTTTAGTGACAATAATGACACTAATGGTTTAGTGACAATAATGACCGCTAAACCAAAAGTGTAAATGCTAACTTACAACCCGTCAACCTGCGGAAAGTTGGAATAATGCACTTCATCCACAGGCCATCGGGAACAGTCACGCTCTATTGTTATCCCTGTTGCCTAAATTGTCGAGGTAGAGATCACAGCAGTACAATAAACAACTCCCGGGAAGTCGCATAATGTGATGATAGTACTACGTCTGGAGGAAATGAGATTGTGCTGCTATAAGTCTCTAAACTGAAACACAATGTACAACAGTAATAAACAAATTCATCATTTTTGAACGCTTTCAATTCCTACAACAGTGTTACTGAAAGTCATTGTTGTTGCACCAGTGATATTGATAATCTTTTCGAACTTTTTCTTAATTTTTTCCACATCCTTGTGCAAAGTAAAGGAAGTATTATAATCTTGAAAATTTTCAGATATAATATTTGAACGGAAATACCTACCTTGACCGTTCCCGAATCCATATGGACGACTTTTTCGAGTGACATCTCTAAGTACGGACAGAATAAAGAAATTTTTTTTTTCCGAAATGGGTTGTAAATTTGATTTGAAATGGATTCAAGAGGAACTTTTTCCGTGACGTCTGTACGTACGTACGTACATATGTATGTATGGCGCAGAACTCGAAAACGAGTAGCCTCAGAACTTTGAAATTTTGTATACGGGACTGCTATAACATCCAGTGTTATAGCACATCCCTTTTTTATTGCACTCGGTAGTACCAAAAAGGTGCGTGTGTGCTTGAGTGTGTATATATATACAAGGGTGGTAATATACACTGAAGTGACAAAAGTCATGGGATAGCAATATGCAAATATACAGATGGCAGTAGTATCGCGTAGAAAATGTGTAAATGCGAAGTGCATTGGCAGGGCTTTCATTTGTGTTCAAGCTATTCATGTGAAGCGGCTTTGACGTGATTATGGCCGCACGACGAGAATTAACAGACTTTGAACGCGGAATGGTAGTTGGAGCTAGACGCATGGATCATTCCATTTCAGATATCGTTAGGGAATTCAACATTCCGAGATCCACAGTGTCAAGAGTGTGCCGAGAGTATCTAATTTCAGGCATAACATCCCACCACGGACAGCGCAGTGGCCGACCACCTGCACTTAACAACCGAGACCAGCGACGTCTGCGTAGAGTTGTCAATGTTCACAGAAAAGCAACACTTCGTCAAATAACCGCAGAAATCAATGTGGGACGTACGAAGGACGTGTCCGATAGGACAGTGCGAAATGTGTCTTCCTTGGGCTATGCCAGCAGAAGACTGACTCGAGTGCCTTTACTGACAGCACGACATCGCCTGCAGCGACTCTCGTGGGCTCGTGAGCATATCGGTTGGTCCCTAAACGAATGGAAAACCGTGGCTTGGTCAGATGAGTCACGATTTCAGTTGGTAAGAGCTGATGGTAGGGTTTGAGTATGGCGCAGACCCCACGAAGCCATGGACCCAAGTTGTCAACAAGGCACTGTTCAAGCTGGTGGTGGTTCCATAATGGTCTGGGCTGTTTTTACATGGCATGGACTCGGTCCTCTGGTACAACTGAACCGATCATTGACTGGAAATGGATACCTTCAGCTACTTGGAGATCACTTACAGCCATTCATGGACTTCACGTACTCAAACAACGATGGGATTTTTATGGATGACAATGCACCATGTCACCGGGACACAATTGTTCGCGATTGGTTAGAAGAACATTCTGGACAATTCCAGCAAATGATCTGGCCACCTAGATCGCCCGACATGAATCCCATCGAACATTTATGGGATATCATCGAGAGGTCAGTTCGTGCCCAAAACCCTGCACCGTCAAGACTTTCACAATTATGGACGTCATTAGAGAAGCAGCATGGCTCAATATTCCTGCATGGGGACTTCCAACGACCTTGTTGAGTTCATGCCACGTCGAGTTGCTGCACTTCGCCGGGCAAAAGGAGGACCGACAAAATATTAGGAGGTATCCCATGACTTTTGTCACTTCAGTGTATATGTGTGTATCCATTCCTATTACCTGGCTTAAAAGTCCTTACCCGCCTTTTATTTTCTCAATCGTTGGTCTTAGTCACATAATTCCAGTAACGAAATGTTTTAAATGACGCAAATATTCATGTTTTTCAATGTCAATCTATAAAAAAAATTATTTTCGACAAATAACGAAATCTAACTTGTAATATGATCTCTCCGTGCTTACTTGTATTTGCGAAAGTTTTATAAACGTTATTAAAAAAATAATAATAATAATAATTAGAAGAAGTTTGACTCCCCTACAACAAAATGTACCTTTCTATTTGATTTCAAAATTTCCAATTTTTAATGTCATTTTCAACTTACTTCGAAGGATCGATTAATTAGGTTTGAATAATTCGAGGAAATAAGCAAATTAAGTGCAGCAAAAAATGTGTATAATTTAATAGGCTGTATACAAGGAAGTCATGTGATGTCCAGATTTTTTAAATAGCTTTCTGTTGTATGCAATCGTTTTCTTCACACTTCAATAATCAACTGCAAAGAAGCACTTTAACCATTATGTATTAAAACCATGTTTCTCCAGACTCGTAGACTCAAGACCACCCTAACCAATGATCACTTATTAATCAGATCATTGTCCCTAGAATGATCAGTTCAGCATGGGTGATTGTAAACGCAGACGTCTGTGTCACAAATATAATTTGCTGGGGCATGCTTAGCAACATATTGGCTCAGTGATATAAGCTGAGATCCCTGATTATTATTTAAAGTGAAAAAAATGAAGTTTTAAGTTATATGTTATTCATCACTTCCCTCTTAAAAGCTTAGTAACACATAATTTTACTTCAGATGTGTATCCACATTTGTTATTCACTCGGCAGTACAATAAATGCTAAAATGAAAACTGTAACTTTCATTCACAATGATATTTTTCTAATTCTTCGCTCGAATGAAAGAAGATTATTGCCTGTGATTATTTGTATTTTATTGGACTTTAAAGTTACTATATCTAACTTTTTAAATTATTTAATATTTTTTAAATTCTGCTGCAGCAAATTATATTTAAAATTAATTTTAATACTTAATTTTATAAATTTAAAATAAATGGTCGAAGTTTAGTCCTTTGACACAAATTGATTAGATAAATCATGACGTTTTATAGACGAAATAAAATTAAAGAAAGTAATTCCAGTGCCTTTTATTATTAGAACGATTTCGAGATGGATGATGAATCCAAAATGGGTCTACCTTCATAGTCTCGAATGCACGAGAACATTAAGAAAATTCGATAATTATTTCTGAAAAATTGTCACATATCTCTTTGAATGATACTTGACGAATTTAATAAAGATGTGCTCATAAAATTGTCATAAATGATCTCGTTTTGTACCTCACGCATTAATTGGAGCAGGAAGATCAAATTTCTTGCATGTATGATTTGAGCCAAACTGAAGACATTAATCCTATTTTTTTTTTTTTTTTTCAAATAAAGTTTACATGGAAATTAAATTTCGTGCTTTGTTTATGATCCTGAGGCCAAACGGTAATCATCTGCTTAGGTTAGATCAGAAATTCCACTATAGCCACAGCGACTTTGATTTTTAAAAACCATGCTGGTGAGCATTTCTGATCAGAAAGAGATATTTCAGAAAGAATTTGATCCTGAGGGACAGATGGTAAATTATAAATTTTATAATCATGCATGTAACGACTACTGGAAGCCGGCTGCTATAATCTTAGGGCCGAGGTTGAATCCTGGAGAAGGCATGGACTTTTGCAAGCATAGTCTATGCCGCAGCGGATACTTGAAAACTAATGAGACAAAACTCTTCACAGAAGATTGGTGGAAAAGGCAGAAAGGCGGTAGGCTATCAGATCCGTCCTCAGGTATGTTCTCCTTCAAAACTGGAACAATGTTGGGACTATCGACCTGATCTGGCTCTAGGCTTCGATGAGAATTGGAAATAAGAGCAACGAAGAATTCAGCGCATAAGACCTGAAAAAGTTCAATCGAATAACTGGTTTTTCCGTCACACTGTTCTATTCTTGCTAAGCAGTTTGTAGCAAAGAGTCATTCCTCTCCCCTTATTCACCAGATTCGGCACCTGATGAGTACTTCATTTTTCCTAGAATAAAGTCTTACCCAGAAAAGTGATTCATGAATCCGTAAACAGTGTCCCAAAAGCTGAGTTCTGCTATGGAATCAAATGGTTGTACAAATGTGCCATAACGATTGTACGGTTAAGAAGAAAGAAGCTTGGATTCTTCAACTTTTCATTTAATAATTTAATTCTAAAATTTTGTAGATGTACCGTAAATTATAATTGATTCTCGTCTGAACCTCTTACAAATAAAATTTTCTAAACAGCAATTCTGTAAGTCCAAGGGATTTTCGAATTATTAAAAATTTCTGAAAACTGATTTCCACTTGCATATTTTCTGTAGTTTTCTTTCTATGGTGTTAAAATGCTAATTTAAGAGAACGCTTTCTTTTTGTAATGATTTTTTTTTGTTGTTGTTGAACTACTACATTCAAATAAGAATTAAAAGTACGATATTACACAAGGATTTCTTCAGACGACAACATTCATTTTATTTCATCAAATTACAAGATTGAGAAATAATAATTTTTACTATGAGATGCAGACAAATAGAACAGGAAATTAAATGTTTAAATTTTTGTATTTTCTTTCTATTGTGACTAGAGGATTGTCTTTAAAAATAACTTTGCGTAAGAAACTAGCAGCTGATTTATGTTCTAGAATGCAATCATTCCATTTCTTAAGCAACCTCACTGCTTTCATTTGGTCTCGTTCACTGTCGACAGCTGTTAATTTTCGAAGTCCAGGGTTGTTTCGTTGCAAATACTCCAGAATATTTTCTATCAGATACTTCAGCCAGATTATATTCGTGATAGGCATGAAATTCTCCCAATTTCCCCTATTCGAGAAGAATTAAGAATTTTTCAGCAATTGTTTAAGCAAGTGCTTCTTAAAATCACGAAAATAAATTGATTAGCAAATATACTATTTTCCAAAAAGAAAGCATCAGCATTAGAAACGTTTTTTAATTAATTGCAGTAATTGCATCAATTAGGTATATTATTAAAATTTAAATAAATATTAAAAAGTATATTTATTGTGTTTTAATCACTCGGTTTGCGAAGAAATTACACTTGTAAATGAAGGTTATTTTAGTCCACTTGAGTATGTCAAAGCACGCGAAGGTTTGGGAAGAAGGATGATTTCATAGAGGACTTTTTAAAGGAAACTGGCTCTTATTCGCGTTAAGTACAGAAAAGCAAAATATACAGTTGATTCGAACCCGAGATGGTGTTTCAACATTCAGCGGTCTTAACTCAGCCACTGATGGGGCTGCAATTTGAAGGACATGGGCAGAGCTTGATTAACCATTGATTGCGTTTGTTCCGTGGAGGAATTTTGACCAGTGTGAAATATCGAGATAAGATCCTTCATTTCCTCTCATATGCCTTGCTGTTCCTCCTGGATTTTTTTCTGATAGACGACAATGCGCGACCGCCCCGAGCTCGGGTTGCTGAAGAATGTCTTGAGAGTCAGAGCGGATAGAATGGCCAGCTCAATCCCCATACCTGAATCCGATAGAGCATCCTTGCGACTACCTTGGAAGACAGGTTTCTGCTTTAAATCCTCCTCCAAGATCGTTAGATGAGCTTGAACCAGAACTTGAACTTGTATTGCAACTAGGGCTGTATACATTCCGTATTAGAATCCATTTTTGTAATGTTATCACCCCATTTTTCCTCAAAAAACTCTGATATGCTGTTTCTCCAAGACTGAATTTATCTGCCAAGAATGGACTTTTTTTTTTTTGTAATTCATATTTGTGTTGAACTTTAGAAACATTCTATGTCACTTTCATTAAAAAACTGTTTAGTGAATCTGTCCTCTAAATTTCTGGTTTCTATGTTGCTTCATTCTCAAATTAGACACACACACACACACACACACACAAAAAAAAAAAAAAAAAAAAAAAAAAAAAAAAAAAACATGCTGTTCCTTAACGTTAACGTTCAATACTATGTTAATTGTAATGAAAAATAACCAACAGAAGATCCCGTTGTAATGCAACGCTCGGTTTAGTGATTGAGGAAGTGTTGAGATTCAGTTACCAATGAACAACGTCGTTCTAAGTAGATTGAGAAAATACCAGAATTCATCACAGTACTAGTAACAAGAGAAGACAACGAAATTTTCACTACACCATAATATATGCCATTGTTAATTTTATGCAAATATGATTTAGCTTTCGTTTTGGTTTTTATTTCTACATTTGTTATATAGTATACTTACATGTTAAAACTATTAGTTTTTAAATATTAGATTTTTGTTTATTTTATTCTTGTAAATTATAAAATTGACTGTATCTACATAACAACATGCTCTCATGATGCTATACCTAACTATTTAAAGTTGGACAGAACTGGGTGGCCAGAAAGTCCCTTTACACGTGCATATTTTATTGTAACTTTAGTAACACTTACAGTTATTTATCCAAAACGTCCGTACATGCACCACTATTTTCCCTTCATAACTCGAAATGCCTGAATGTCCTCCTATTCATCCGCCTTAGCAGTTGTGGTGTCACATGCTGGAAGGGTTTAAACACATTTGTCCGCACAGCATCGTTGTTCACGAACCGTTTCGTCCTGACGTATGACTTGATGATCCCCCATAGGACATTGCATGGTGTCCTAAAGTCCGTATTACGATGCGGCCAAGGGGCTGCTGAATATAAAGACTTCACCAGGCGAAAAAGCTTTCTTCTCCCACATGATCAGAATCTGACTACTTAAAGGCTCTTTAGGCTCCATCCAGACAACGGTATAAATGTCAGAGGCATAGTAGCTATAAGGCACTGATATCAATCCCAATCGAAATTCTCTCAGGAATCTGGAAAAAGCATTAATAGGAATTCCCCGCTGCATGCCAGAATAAACACAAGTATCAAAGTATCATAAGGCATAAAATAAGGAAGTTCGTTCACACCGAGACAGGGTTTAAGGCGTAGCCAATTAAAGAAGCTAAATTTGCGCATGCGTGGATGTGTCTACAGCTTTCCCGCTCTGTTTCTTGGCTTAATAGGTTTCGCACGTTCGCTCCGATCGGTTGGCAAATTGGCACAGAGTTGAAAATTTCGAACTTTATTCCAAAACCCCTAAACCAGGTTTTGTGATGTAGCAAGGTCTGGTTACCTAGCAACGAAGCTCGGCTTAAACTAGTTATGACATTCATACCACCGTTTGAACGGAGCCTTAGCGAACCGTTCACGAAACTTAATCATCACCTGCGTCTTATTATCGTTGCTGTGCTTCCTTTCATGGACCCACATTTATGTCACTAAGCGCTCCTCCAAAGTCACTGTTATCTGCCATTACTTCTTCGCCAAGCATAGAAAGGAAATACAATGAGTTGATCAACGCACAGAATTTATTCCTTCGGGGGCCTTCCCGGAAAATCAGGTGGCAGTTGTGCGCAAGTCACGATGAAAATCACTTTTGCCATATCAGGATATGAGGTTTAAATCTTAAATATCTTATCATCTTACACTGTTAATGCATTTCGTTTATGTAAAGGGACTTTCTGGCCACATCGTAGATTTTGTTAACTGTAAGATTTGCATAGTAAATATATAAGGTATTTATGTTAATTAGCGAGTTTTTATGATTTTGATCTGAAGTATAATTTCACTTTTCTGTTAGCCCTCATCAGGAGGAAAACGAGTTATAAAGTATTTAAGGCAAGGGTTTTTGAATGTTTTAGCAATAACACTTTTCGCAGAGAAGCTCGCATCTTTACTTTCTATCTACCAGCTCTTCCAGTTAATATTCCATTCACTAATTATGACATTATCCAGTTAATATCAGCCATTTGATAGCCGAAGTTAAATCGCACCATTAAAGTTTGAGCCAGCTTTGTGAAGACAAATATGTATAGTCTTCGGCTAAGATACATTTTTAAATTCTTAATTTCAATTTATATTATTTTTATACCTGCAACTGGCAGAATGGATTGTAGACACAGATAGTGCTTTCTGTTTAAATTCAAATCTAATCAAAAGATTTTTTTTTTCAAAATCTTCACAGAACTTTGTCTCATTTACATAGATGAAGCGATAATTCGCTTAGCAGTTTAATAAAGTCTGAAGGACTTTGAGTTACTATCACACAGTTAAGATTCTGTAGATTCTTTTAAAATTGCTATAAATACCTAAAACACCTTTCTATACATTTTATAGAAAGAAGCAAACCGTGCAAATTTAAATCCTAGCTCTTTATAATTTAGTTTCAAAAGAAAATTTGTTGTTATGAATGATAAATGCAACAATATGCAATAACCTTTAAAGAAAACAGTTTTTCCCTCATTCTACAAAAATTAATGCTTTAATCAATATTATGTATGACGTAGTCAAAGCGTAACTTGAAAATGAAATTTGACCAAAATTAAGTAGAGATTTAAATTTCATTTCCATGCAGCTAATTCATCATTTTGCTAGAAATTATAATGATTTAGCATATTTGACGATTATCCTTGAATGAAAACTGGATGATGACTGAATACGAATTTTCATTTTTATTTTAAAAATAATAGTTCTTGCCTACTTTCTGCAACGAATTTTTAGCACGGCTTGAGACGGAAAAATTTGGTCTGAAAACTATTCTTCGTCATCTTCTTGAAAACAATCTGATTGTAATTGTTCAGTGTTACGCAAATGTAAATTTAGTTTCATTATTGTCTCCCGCTGAAGAATGTTGGAATTGCAAAATAAAGGTTCTCGAAGTTAATTACGAGGGTCTAGAAGTTCATTCTTTCAAAAGGCTGAAATTCTTATTGCGTAGTGCTTTTCAGTTGATTAAACACGATGGCAGGATATAGAGAATTCTTGTGTGGTTTAGCGAGGGGGTTGCTCTTCGGTCTGTTTAACGTCGATTGGGAAGTAGTAGAAATTATGATTGTTGAATGATGAATGATATGAATTGATATTGTAAATATCGTTTCAACATTCTACTGGAAGTTCAACTGAATATCAGACAGCAATAACTTTAACTAAAGTTATAGGTCAATGTACGGAAGGTCTGGTCAATGTACGGAAACGGAACATTAGTTTAGCTTTAGAGTCTCGCAGTGGCCAAGTGGTTAAAGAGAGCTGACTAAGTATAGTATAAGCAGCAGACAAAAGGTTTATTTAATATATTTTTTTTATATATATCTATCGCCATGTATCCCCTCGTACTAAAACGTTATGCGATTATGGGAGCGATTTCTAACCTCATAGCGGCCTCGAATGAAAAAGAATTGTTTAAGTTTTCTCAGATGATATGGATCAAATTATTGTGGAAATGAATCTGGATTTAATCCTTGTCATTAGAGAAAGAGAAAAAACTAGTTTTTTCAATCTGTCGATTCCATGATACCGACACGCAGAGTTTCAGTCCATTATAAGTATGTTATTGTGACTAATCCCCATAATCTGTATAGTAAAATCCATGTTAGTCTATGAATTTATCGTGAAGAGAAACAGAAAGTTTCGTTTGTCATTTGCCAAGGCCTTGGCTACTTTATAAATGAAAATAAGAGCAAACAACATATACAGTGTGTCTCAAAAGGTCGTTGCCAAACATAACATGCTGGTCTGTCACACAACGACAAGCAACATTTACGTAGGAACTTGTGTCCGAAAATGGGAACGGTGACTGCTAGGGGGCAGTTCGCAGGTTTATGTGAGATTGGGAAGTTTGATTATTTCATGCGAGAATGTTGCAGGAGAAAGAGGATTCGTTTAATATAGTTCTTTATGGAATCTTTTGTGGCATTTGCCATTTCGTGAAAAAAGTATTGCCGGATATGATAGATAACGCTCCAGCAGCTACACGACGAAACATCTGGTTTCAGCACGACGGAGAGCTTGCACATTTTAGCAGCACTGCGGGGGGGGATATCTCGATAGGACATATCCTGACCGCTGGATTGGCAAAAGCGAACCAGTCGTGTGGCCACCGCAATCGGCCGACCTGATACCCCTGGATTTCTTCCTTTAGGGTTATATAAAGTCGATAGAGTACGAGACGACAGGAACATTGGACATGGATCTCGTTTCCAGGATCGTGGAAGCGGAGAAACGTGTCATTGACACACCTGCCCATTTTGAACCAGTCCGTGAATCCACGCATCGACGTTATGAAGCATGCATTGCAGCGAGTGAAAGGAATTTTGAACATCTGTGATTTAACCATGTTCTTTAATAAAGTCATTAGCACCTCTTTCGACATCCTTTCTTTTTTATTCCTCTACGCTTGCGAATATTGCCCTCTAGCGTTCGTCGTTTGAAGACACATTTGAGGGACGCATCCATGAATTGCATTCTTCTCTTTTTTTATGTACCACAAACTTCTCAAGAAGACTTTCGGCTAGATAATATCTAAGTGCCACGATACTGAAAAGATACTACAGATTTGAAACATACGTGCCATCTTCGGCATCCGAACCTGACCCAGTAACACGGCAGCCTGCGCCGTGCACCAGTATCCACTGCATCGATGAAGGTGGCAATACGTCTCCTCACCTTTGGTTTGGAATCACGAAAAGTGCAAAGTCGGCAAACCAAATTTTTTGGTCTCATACAGTTTATTGCATTCACTAAAGTTTGCACTGCATAATCCTTTTGCACTGCATAAAACGTTTTTTTTTTTTTTTTTTTTTTTTTTTTTTTTTTTAAAGTCTGACACAGAAGTAAAATGAACGCTGATGGTTTATTTACTTGTTTAATCAATAATTATGTCCTAGCCCCCAAAGGTTATCTGCCTAAGGGAAAGTTTGAATTCTTGAAGGTCGTTTCAAAAGTAATTAGTTGGTATTCGTGTTACACATGTTCATATGGAAAGTATAAAAACACCCAGGCACCAAGATAGTTCGGCAATATTTACAGCTGGATCTAACTACCGGTGTTCGGTGATCTTATCCGCTGGGCCACTAGTAGATCTCTAGTAAACGGGAGTAGATAGACAAGCTATTAGATTATGTATAGCCATATATATTACAGTGATACCCTGTTTAACCAAAACGGTGAACTAAACTAAATCCGTATTTTCAAAAACCATTCGTTTCTAATAATTTTATAAGATACAAATGTTTTAGTGCTAGAATGGAAAGAGTAGAACAAAAGTTAGGAAGTCACAAGCATCGAAATCCGCTGAATTCAGAAATTTGATGTAATTTCTTGCCCAGCATATGATAATTTTGGAGTCACGTATTCTACTTTAAAAGGAATAAAATATAATATGCCTTTTAAATATATAAAAATATATAAAAGGAATAATATAAAATGCATTCATGGAAATCGCTTATTTTAGATTTTTTTAAAAAAAGGTACCACAAGTGGGTTAAAAATAGCATACATTTTTGCTTGGAGCACGCGAAAACTTAGTTTTTGCATACCTAGAAGCAATTGTTTGACAGAAGTTGTGACCTAATTGTTTTGAGTAGGCACCTGATGTCCCGTTCGTTACCATGACAACACATGCATTTGGTTGAAAAACGTCTTTGGAATTTCAAAAGGTTTCTCACCCACGCTTTCATCAGCAAGTTCTCATTAATAGTAGTATTAAATCTTTACTGTGTATATTTCGTATTATATCGGTATTTGAAGTAGTGGGATCTGGAAAAGATGATAATATTGGCACGGCGAGTTGAAAGTCTTCCAGCTGTTTGGTGGTTTGATAGGCTTACCAGACGTTCCACTTTGACCGGGCCTAATCAAGGTTTGATGATGTGTTCGCTGCTACTCGTTCAGTTCGTTATTTTGTCCATGTTATTTGATAAAATGTTATAAGTGTTGAATATACAAAAAGTGAAAGCAGCACAGCTTCGATTAAAACTGCGATTTAATAATTAAAATATCCTGTTACACTCACTGGCGGCTGCCAATTTAATATTTTGTATTTAAGTACTTTTGATGTTTTCCCCCCAAAAATGATGACATATGTGCTTCTTACACGCTATGGAAACAACTTGTAGCGGTTGCTACATCGCGAAAAACGCTATTTATGTGTTTAAGAATAAATTTTCACTACTATATTTTAACTAAAATTATTTAATACTTTTTAACACATCGGATCTTGTAAAACATTATCATTCTAAACATATTGTTGTTATTTTTACCTTTGCCATTTCAGTCTATATAAAGTTGTAGAAATAAAAAGATTACAGTTCGTTTGTAAAGGTTAAGTGTATTTTCTATCTCTTTTCTGCATGCCTTTGGGGTGTAAGGGTTAGCACACACAATATATTGTTTAAAAAATCCAAATGAAATGACTTTATAAATGGTTTGTTTTGTTACTTTAATACATAATGTTGTAAATACATTAATACAGATTTAATAAATTAAAGACATATAAGAGATCTTTTGCATCGCCGACTGGCAGTCATGTGTGTTTATGGTGAAAGCGTATATCGAAATTGGAAAACAAAACATTTTTTCAGTGGTTAAAAGAAAGAGCTAAGTTACAATAAGTACTGTTAGTCCATTCATTTATTTTACTTGCAGCTGACAACATGTTTAGTATTATAAAACTCAAACTTAGTTTACATTTGGTATGGTATTATTACACTTACCTGCTGTATTCCAACATTATCTTGTAGATAGTACCATGATGCAACCAAGAATTTTCAGAGACTTCACAAGAAGACTCATCTTTTGAAACACAGCTATCCAAACTAACGCAATACACTTTATCGCCTAAAGAAAGAAAAAACAAAAAGCAGAATATTGTTTAATTTTAAACAGTTTAATTTAATAATTCTTAATAAAGTTTTCTAACAGTTAATAATAAAGTTTTATAACAGACATAAATCGAAATGAAATTTTGTTGTGTTTAGTAGCTATTCTTGATTTTAATGAATATTTTAAGTATGTTGATAACTAACCATTTTGAATCTGATGAAAACTATATATCGTACCAACATATTTTTAAGTACGCATTAAAGAAAAAAAAAAAAAAAAAAAAAAAAAATACCCTTCGCACACTTTCTGTCTTTCGCTTAAAATGGCTTTCACCCACTTCTGGAAATAAATAAGGGTGTTTTTATGTATGTAAACAGTACAGATTTAAAGCGCAGTAAATCTGCAGTTTTATGACTTTTTACTTCCTTGTAAGATATGTATCTCGCATAACTCAAAAATGAACAGTTGAAACGAACGTTGAAATTTTGTATATGGGACTGCTATAGCATGTAGTTGTGCACCTTCTCTTTTGCAATCGGCCGCACCAAAAAGTATATATATATATATATATATATATATATATAATGACATGCAATAGTTATAAAATTATCGATAATTTAAAAGTTTCGCTATGTCTAACGAGGTCGCCAATTGTTTACATTTCAAACTCTTAGCCGATGAGCAAATTAAGTAAGTTGGTATACACAAACTTCAGTGACTTTTTGCCCAGTGAGGCCAAAAGTTAACTTTCAATTTTGTGCACTGAAAATGTCGTCTTCCTGCTTGTTGGCCGAATTGCTTGTTTTTGCGTAGAAGCTCTAATTTATATTCCAAAAGTTATTATTTTAATTGTATTTGATATTTTAGAGTTTGCCGTATTTTACAGTTTTTAATGAAGGTTTTTTGAGTTTTTATACATTTTTCTCTTGCTGCGAAGTGAGAAGTGAATTGTATGAATCAGAAATATATCTCTAATGAAATTCGAAGAAATAAATTGAAACGAAATGCAAAAAGAAATGTGTATAATTTAATAGACTGCACAAGGAAGTCATATGGTGCCCACATCAGATATTTTTAAATTCTGGAAAACTGCCAGGCAATAATTGAGAGCATTTATTACTGTGACATGTCACTTGTTTCGCCTAAAATATAGTCTGGTTATGGACAGAATTTTCTACGCACTGCTTTTTTCTACCAAATTTTGCTATAAAGCGAGAAAATCAGCAGTGGAGACATTTGAAATATTGTTACGAAATGTCCAGGCGCGGTAAGATGGCTTCCCCGCAAAGCAGGTTTAGGGTTGCCAAAAAATGGCAGCGAAGGCAGGGTTGCCACATTTGGCGACAAAATTAGCGATATGCCGTGGACGGATGGATAACCTTCTGGAACGAATTCTTATCGGCTTATCCCAGAATGTTCTCGAACAGAAGCCAAAAACTATATAAACCCTGCTTGTACGAGGAGAGAGAGTGCGAGATAGTTAGTGTCTCGAATTAGTTAGTCCGAGCGGAGTCAATCGAGTTGACATTCGTTCAGCGAGTACTGAGTGCGTCGTCGAGTGCACCGAAAGAGTCTCTTAGTGTATCGCGGTTAGTGCATCGTCGAGAGAGTATGTTAAGCTCCGGGAATGATTGAAATGAAGAGTCGGGAGCTGTACTCTGTGTGTCGTCGAGTGCATGGCGAGTTGTAGCGTGGAGAGTCTCGAGAGTACGTGGAGTTCCGAGAACGACCGAGCAGAGTCGGGAGCTGTACTCTGGTGCTTTGCAGTGAAGCAGTCTCCACCGTTATTGCATGACATTGTGAAGGCTGTGTCGCTGATTGTTCCAGCGTGTTTATAGCAGTTCTGTTCATTTAAAGAGTTAGATAAAACGGTGTTTTTACTCTTCTTACCATTTTTTTGATTTGATTCAAACTAAAACAATAACTCACTTTTCAGTCTCGTAAGGCCGAGATATGCCTCTAGACACGGCAGAACCTTGCACATCAGTGTAGAAACCTTCGTGAATTATGTATGCAAACAAAAATCATTGAGAATTTCGGTAACTGGAATGCGTTTATTTGTTCCATTTTGATTATGTCATAAAATTACGATAATTTTGCCTTGGACAGTTGATACACAGTACAACAACTGAGATGAACAAGGGGTTGTGGCGAGAAAACGTAATCACACGCACCATAGAACAGTACAGATCAGTACTCTTTGCAAGTGAGTATTATGTTTGTTAGGTAAAACACGAAGTAACTAGAGTGTAAGTCACGTCGAATTATGATTTTGAAGGGAATAAGGAACATGATACAGCCAATAGATCGCTGCGGAACGGTTATAACCGAGGCGGTTGTTTGGGCAGGAATCGATTCAAGTATTCAAAGCGTTAAATAATTTTTTAATATTTTTTTTCCAATGGCAGATTGCGAACAGTTGTAACACAGTCCATTAATCTATACAAGGCCAGATGTGGTGGTCTCTTCATAATTCTTAAATAATTGACCGCATTGTGATTTATTTATATTAATGGTCCCTCATAGGAGAAGTACAAAACCCGCACGCTCTAGCTACTGATGTCTGGCCGATTCGATCAATATATCTTAATCTGATCGAATCCACAGCACGTGTGGGACCACATCGAAAAGGAGGTAACTACTTCATCTTCCCCTTCAAGGAAATTAAATGAGCTACAAATAGGATTATATGGTATTTGTTACCCACTGAAGCATCTGACAGTTTAATCCAAGTCATGAAGAGGAGGTACCAAGTTGGCAGTCCGCAATAAAACTCTTCTTCTCATTTATTTGAACAGAAACACATCCGTAATATATCTCACTGGTTATGTCTATTTCATGCCATAATATAAGATATACAGTTTTTTTTAGCATCCTGTAACTTACGACATGAACTACAGTTGGGTCATGTATGTCTTGTTTGCGTTTAGACTTTCGCCTTAACAATGATTTTGCAGTATATGTGATTTACCTTTTCATTATACTGGCAATTATTAACGGGTATTGCGTAATATTATCTTTTCGGTCAATGGTCATAATTCTGAATATTTCTTTATTTTACATCTAGACGATGAATTATTTAAAAGTGATCCACTGGCTAATCAATGTTTCGGCGACAAATATTTTAGTTCGAAATCTTATTGCCACTAGGAAGTATCAAAATATTACCTAGGTCTGCATTGGGTCATTTTATAATTCTAATGATTCTGTATATCTATTGTTAAAATTTACGATGTACTAAATGCAGTGTGCGCGACAGTGATACAGCGACTAATGTCTGTCACCTCTAAACTCTTTCTTTTTCTACTTTGATAGAAAAAAAAAAAAAAAAAAAAAAAAAAAAAAAGATTTTCTGACGATTTTAAATTAAGTATTTCATAAAAGCAGTTAATAAAAATTACTCATTGGAAAAGATCACTTGCTTATGAAAAATGTAGTTACCCGATCCAACGAAGATAGTTGAAAAACATATATATGTTGCAGAGCATATATATGTAGATTTTATAATCATCATATTTAACATTTTCTTCATAGCAAATATCAGAGCCAGCGATTTCTGCTTTGAAAGTATAACTACTTTCAAAGTTGAAAAAACATAAGAAACGAAAGAAAAACAAAGGAAGAAAGAACGAAAGGTAAATACCGCCATAAATCCTCGACAGATTGAAGTCGATTATAAAAGCTTGATGCCCCACTGTTTGGACAGAGAAATGGAAGTCGTAGATTGTGTATTTCAAGGATACGGAATCTGTCCTTTGGATGAGTATATTTCCGAGATGCAAGTCCCTGTGCTCGAAGTTATAGGCTTCTTCTGCCACTGCCAAGGCCGATGCGAGCTGAGACGTAATGCTCGCTCCAACCCAAGCATTCTTCAAAACCTAATTACAGGAGATAAAAAAGGAATAATTTATGTCTTCCGTCTTACACTGTAAGTAAAAAGAAGTAAAAATGTGAACTGTTGTTTTATTCTCACTGACCGGATGAAGAAAAATATGAAGTTTTGTCGCTCTGTTTAACGAAATCATTGATTACACTAACCCTGCGACTGTTGTGTTATTTAAATTTTGATAATTGATTCTCATGTATTTTAGAGCTGAATCTGAAAATGCCTTCATGTTTACTATTATGTCAGGAGTTTTTGTAAATTGAAAATTTCAAAATTATTGAAAAATTGCGAAAATATGAGACTTTAAAATAGACATAAAACTTTTTATTATAATTTATTCTTTTTTTGGCCTATACTAATGGACTATACTAAGCATTCTTATAGAAAAACAGTTGAGGGATTTGATGGGGAGGAGAGGTCCATTGAACCTTCAGTTTTATAATAAAAATTATTATAAATGAAACTAATTTTCTATTTTACTTCGTTTTCATTTATTTCAAGTAATTTGTTTTTCCCATTTTTAGAAGATACATTAGGTTCTTGAAAACCTTCCTCTTACTCTCCTTTCTCTTTCTTCTCACTAGGTAAATCTATAAAAAATTTTAATCAAATGTGAAGAACTTGGAACGAAAAATGTTCTCTGAAAAGCTCTCATAAATGTGAATAAAGTTCTCCTACCTTTGCATATTAAGTTAGACGTGAAGCAGCTTATCAAAAGAAAGCCAATGTTTTAAATATATATATGACAAATTTCCAGAATTATCAACAGTCCAACTAAAAGAGGGTGTCTTTGCTAGTCTTGATATTAGAAAACTTAAACAAAATACTGAAAGAATAGCTTAGGTAGCCTTTGAAGACGCAGTAATCAAGTTTCTGAGCAATGAGCAAGATCACAACTTTAAATCAATTATTGAAAATATTCAAAAATTTAGGTTGTTCCACGAGCTTAAAAAGCTTACTTTCTAAAGACATATTTGGAATATTTTTCTGAAAATCGGAGTCCCGTTAGCGAACAGATGGATGAAAGATTTCATCAAGACATTGGAAAAGTGTTATCAAGAAAAATGAACTGCTTCGCTGATAGCTGACTGTTGCAGGGTGTTTGTTACGTTGAGATGAACACTTATCAAGCACATAAAAGGAAAAGGACGAAGTACAACATGAGCGGTCCATAGAAACTTCGACACATGAAGCACATGTTATGTGTTTTATGTACATTAGCTTAAAAAAATAAAAAAAAAAGGTTGGGGGAATAAATTTTAAGAAAATATGCTTAAAATTTCATATTTTCTCAATTTTTCGACTTTTTGCAAACTCTAAAAGCTGAGATTTCCGAAAAACCTCGACATGACGAGGAAAAAGGCGAGTCGATATCCGATTCAGAGCTAAAAAATACATAGGAATCAAGAAGCGAAAGTTAAAAATCACAGCAAAACCAAATTTTACAGCCTTGGGTTGTAATTATCTAAAGAGGTGTGCAGGTTTCAAGCATTTGCCCCAAGCCGATTATTCAGAGATTATAATAAATGTGTAACATTTTTTATAATAATTACCCGCTGTAATACTTACGGTGTGAACGACTTTAACTGAAGAATAATACAATAAAAATCTGCTTCCCCCATTTTTAACAATAGAATTAAAGGAGAATAGTGTTTTTGCGGAGAATACTTAAGAACCATGAAAATTTTATGCAAACCGATCCCTTTAGCTTCCACTTCTGAATAGAAACTGTATTCTTTCGGGAAATGAAAACGCAATAATTTCTTGTACTGAGATGTGCGCATTATTTAAATATTTGCACCACCTTAACCTCTGAAATAGAAATGGAAGCTTTTATTTATTTTAAGCTTATATGTAATGTAAAAATATATCAACATGCAACAAATTAGAAATATAAATATGTGTATTTAAATTATTGTTTGTAGAATGAACTGAAATGCAGTATTTTACTATAGGCCATCTCGTAAACATTGCGGTTTTTCAATCGAACGAACAAGCGGAAGGTGACTGCATAAAGTCCCTGCATCATCTTGCTATAAATGCAAGTAGTAATTTCGTCTTGTTCTTATTCTTAGTGCAAATTTTGAAGACAGCAGTTCGATTTTTAAGAGTTACGATATCAAAACTAAATGTAAGTGACAAAGGAGCATATTTGGCATATTTTGCTTTAGAAGTTCAATTAAATATTCATTAATAGAAATATTAAGGCAGTATATAAGTAGCGGCAAAATAAGCGTAAGTCAGTGTCAGCTGTGGTTCCAGAAATTTATATCTAGTTCACAGTAAATGAACCCTATAGACATATTTACACATCATTTTGTTCATATGTAGCCGCAAGAATTCCTACAACAGTTTTGAAGCCAAATATATTACCGGAAAGCTTCTTTAAAATATCATTATTTACAGAATTCATTCCAAAAGATCAGATCTTTGGTGGATTCAATCATTTTCAAAAGCTGTTTCTTACTGAAGCTCAGTCAAGATACTCATAACGATGTCGTGCAATTCTTAAAGCAACTGCATTCATTCTGCAATAAAAATTTCTCAAAGGCAGCTGTTCAAAAACTTCACTGTTCTGTTAACAGCATGGATGCTGAGAAATACTTTGTAACTTATAATATAATAATTACGAGCAGAAGGCAGACTAAAAAAAAAAAAAAAAAAAAGTGCAATTACAATGAAGTTTATCGTTCAACTAATTGTTTATATTATTATAACAGTTTATTTCATTCCAACAGATTCTAAAAACAATTATTAGTACTTTTTATTTTTTCCGAATAAGTGCGAATTTTTATTTTTTTTATTTTTGAGAAATTCCCAATTGTTTAATGCAAAAATTCGTACCATTAGGAATTAAATTGAATTATTTTTAGTAATAATAATAATAATAATAATAATAACAAACAGTTACATCCTACGATATTTTTCTTCCTTTCTAACGCACTTCGAGATTAATACTCCCCTCTCCCGTTTTTTACCTCTAGAGTTTTATGACAACAAAATAAGTAAATGTATCTTGATGAGACGGAGCCTTATCGTTTAAGATAAATCTATCTGACGTAACTTCAGGTTGTAAATGATCGTTGACATCTACTGAATCAGAAGCGAAACCATCCACCAAACGCTTTTTTTTCCAGTATTAAAGATGTCTCGAGTACTTTAGCACTAAAAATGCCTTAGATAAAATCGGTAGGTTAATGAACTATGGTCACTATCTCAGAGATATCGTTTGTCATGTCTGCGAACAAATGTTAACGCATACTCAGATATTTCTAAAAGGAAAAACTAATTGTTTGCCTCCTTATTTGTCTCTATATTCATCATCGCTTTAAGATGTTAAAATTATACAGTATAAAGTATTCTTGGCTATGTAGGCAAAAAGAGACAAATCCGATCAAAAAGCGAATATTTGCATTTGTTTTCTTAAAGCATCATTTGCCAATAATTTATTTAAGGAAAAAATACGCTGTTTCTTTACTAGTAGATAGATCGACAGCAATAAATTCTGCATCCTGTTGAAAGCTCGCAGAAACTCGAGAAATTTAATATTTAGCTAATATCATTGATAAGAGACTTTAGTTCCACCACAAATAACATATGATATACAAGATGATTCTCTACCAAATCGACAAACTTGCAGGGTGTGTAGGGGGTACAGAGACGACTCAGAACCACACAGGAATGCAGGGTCGCAAATGCCGTATTTGCAAGCTATGGTGCAAAAAAGCAGAGAGAAAGAACAGAAAAAGAAACACATTAGTGAGATGGAAAACATTTTATTGGGAAGTTGTGCTACAACAGGCATTCGAAATTACGGCCAGAAGGCAGGCTTGATAGTGGCGTTGCATGGAATTCCTTATGTTCTGGAGGATTCTTGGCATCTCACGTATTCTCCGCAGCTACAAATATTCGAGAGCGACGAGGTCTTCAACTGAAGGAATACGCTTTTCGTACACCAAACTCTTCATGTGATCCGAGAAGAAAAAAATCCATGCACGATAGTTCCGGTGATCTGGCAGGCCACTGAACTGGGCCACCATGACCTATTCACCGCTGTCCAAAGGTTATGTGGAGGTGTTGGTGGAGATCAGTCGTGTAATGTGGAGGAGCCCCGTCGTGCTGGTACCACATGGAGCGGAGTAATAACGGAGGAACATGTGCTGCGTCAGTTCGGGCAGGAATTGTTCCAAGAAGATCAGGTATGCCTACCGTCCAAAGGACTGAGCAGAATGTCTATGGTCCAATGATATAGTCTCCAAAACGCCGGGTCAAACATTGACCGAGAAATGCTCTTGAGCTATATGTGGTTGCGTACGATGAGGATTCTGCAAAGCCCACACGTGGGGGTTTGCTGATTGAAAGCTCCCTCACGTGTGAAGTACGCTTCCTCCATGAGCAATACGGATGCAGCAAATGCGCTGTTTATAACACTCTGTTGCAGGAGCCATGCAGCAAAGATCCTCCGGAGTGGATAATTCTCAGGCTCTAATAAATGGACGAGATGAAGGTGGTATGCGCTCATTTGGTTTTCTGCGAGTATCCTCAAGACAATGGATTGAGATAGAGCCACTTGTTAGACTATCGCTCGAGTACTCGTACTTGGATTGTCTTCTTGGATTGTCCAGGCGTAAGACTGCCTCCTCATTGCTAGGTGTCCTCGTCGTTCGCCGTCGATTCATTGTAGCTCTCGTTAAACAACCAATCACACGTAACCATCGGTTCACAATTGCGAAGGTGAGATGTGGAGCACGCCTGTTCGGGCAACGTTCCTGGGACAGCCGTCGAACGGCGTTTTGCGGGTTACAGTCCTCAGCTCCATACACGACGTCGACCAGTTCATCGTTTGAATATGCGTTAAACCTACTTACCTAGGGGAACGGATCGCAAATGATGACAAGCAGCAAGATCTGTTCACGCAATTCCAGCAAGATTGATGGTCACGCAACTTCTTTTTTTCAGTGCCATCTACAGCAAAACTGCTGCAGAACGTAA